CCAGTGAAGGCCGGCAACTGTTGGCTGCCAGCCAACCAATTTGAAATGCATCACTGGTTGCTGGGTAGACTGGCAGGGTCTTTAGCCCCCTCCCAGTCATGTTGGCAGTGCTTAGAAGAATAGGGAGCTTAAGTCCCCCCACCCAGGTATGTGATGCCAGTCATGTAGGCAAAGGGAGCAGGTTTCCTCCCTCCCTCAGGAATGTATCCAGCTCAGGTTACAACTCAGGGTTACCTGAAGCTGATGGGGCAGAGGTGCCTGCCCTTTGCAGTGATTATGGTAACCAAATTGTCAGGTAGCGGAGACAGAGTTGGTACTCTGCCACACAGATGTTCCCACTTTTTAGGCTTCTAGTGTGCATCTCTGGGGTGTATCGAGATATGCAGGTATGTGCTGTTTCTAGTGCCACAAACCGCATGCATTGCACATTAAACTGTGTGTGGCGCTGCTGATTTGCAGTGCAGGGGCAAAATTTGCTACTGGGATTTCCTGGTAGCAAAAAACCCCCCCAGAAAAAAAGTAGCACAAAGCAAGCAAAAATTGCATGCGCCGGGACAAACAGAAATGGGGGAGCAAGCAGCCCAGGACTGCCCTAACAGAATTCATTGCATGGGCATAAAGATTTCACCATGGCACCTAAACTTCAGTATGTCAATGGAGATGCTTCTAGTTTTACAGAAAGCTGAGGTTGTCATTCATAATGTATCAAATACATTTGACAAATATGAAAAATAAGTGCGCCTGGCATCCTTGAATTTGGTCACCAGCTAGAGGCAAGAACTTTTGTTCACTGTGCAGTAAATAAAAATGGACTTATGTGTGAGGTGGTCACTCAGTTCTTCAATGGAGAGAAGCTCTGGGAAATGGGTAGCCATAAGAGTTGATACTTTTTGAAGGGCTGTAACAGAGCAGGCTCAGGGGTGATCTGATGGCCACCTATAAGTTTATCAGGGGCGACCACCAGTATCTGGGGTAATGTTTGTTCACCAGAGCGCTCCAAGGGATGATGAGGTCAAATGGTCACAAACTCCTCCATGACCGTTTCAGGCTGGACATAAGGAAGAATTTCTTTACTGTCCGAGCCCCCAAGGTCTGGAACAGCCCGCCGTCGGAGGTGGTTCAAGCACCTACATTGAACACCTTCAAGAGCAAATTGGATGCTTATCTTGCTGGGATCCTATGACCCCAGCTGACTTCCTGCCCTTTGTGTGGGAGGGCTGGACTCAATGATCTTTCGAGGTCCCTTCCAGCTCTAATGTCTATGAAATCTATGAGGGAATGCTGAGGCATTTCAAACCTTATTGATTTTCACAGGAGACAGCAAAATATTTAGGGCAGAGGTAGGCAACCCCTGGCACAGGTGCCAGAGTGTGGTACACAAAGGCATTTTGCTTGGTGTGTGAACATCTGGGTGGACGGCAGGAAAGGAGCTGGGATGTACCGCGTCAATCAGACCTCTCACAGCTCCCCCATGGTCTGCCCATGGCATACCAGCATGTTATAAGTAAAAATTGTGAGGGTTTTTGTCACTCCGGCCAAAAACGTTGCCAACCCTTGCTTTAGGGGCTGATTTGAAGGTTTAAAAAAAGAAGTTGGTCAACTGGAATTAGCAAGTGAATATGAAAGTTTGATACAAAGGAGAAATGATGGTGAAAATAACACTGCAATTATCTGACAACTTTACCTATATGCAGATGGCCTAAGAAGGCTTTTACATTTGTTTAACATAGCCGGGCCTTTGATAGCTGAAACCTGGATCAGATGAAGAAAATCAAATATAAACCTTGTGAGTAGGGCCCTGCCGAATTCACGGTGGAAGTGGGCTGCGCTGCGGCTCCTTTAACCTTGCAGGTTCCCCTGCATGCCCCTTTGCCGCTAATTGGTTGAGGGGCCCTGCTAGCGGCTCACTCCTGATTGGCAGGGAAGCAAACACCATGGCTTTAAGCATGGCACCGTTTTTGCCTCCCTGCCGGTCAGCCGCAAGCAGCGGGGCTGCCAGGGTCCCTCCGCCAATCAGCGGTGGGATCAAAAACAGCTTCTTATTTAAAACCGCAGTCTTTGCCTCCCTGCCAGTCGGGAGCGAGCAGGAAGTGGGGCCCCTCCACCAATCAGCAGTGGGCGGCTAATAGGGGAACCTGAAAGATTAAAGGAGCAGCAGTGCAGCCCATTTCTGCTGTGAATTTGGTAGGACCCCACTCCTGAGCCATCCCTAAATGGGGCATAGCCTTAGAGAGGCACTCAGTGAACCCAGGCATGTTTTGCCGATGAAATTCCCTTGGAATGAACGTGCATCCCAGTTCTAAAACAAATGGCTGCCTGGACGAAACCTGGTTGTAAAAACTTTTGATGAAAAACTATGCAGAGAATAAGCGCATGTTAACATTTTGCCTCTAGCCAATAAGAAGAAAGAGAAAGAGCGTCCTGAGATCTCTCTTCCTTCAGACTTTGAACATACGATTCATGTGGGGTTTGATGCCGTCACTGGAGAATTCACTGTAAGTAGCCTCTGTATTGCACCTTTGGTCAGTTTTCGGATTGCGAGTGAAATAATCTTTTATAGTCAGAACATCAGAGGACAGCAGTCAGCCTAAGGGGATGGGGGCGGGTATCGGGGAGGAACAGAACCAACTTCCTACTTGTTGGATTTAAATATTTTGAGTAGTTTACCTCTTGATTCAGACACATCTTTTTTCCTCAAGATATTACCGGCAGAGTGCCCGTGGAATATAAAAACTAGGAAAAAAACCAGGTGCATGCTTGGTTAAGTTTTGTAGGGTAATTCAGGGACAGATTATTCACTGTCTTTGGAAAGACACTAAGAAAAACGCACAGACACACACACAGACACACGCACACAATCAGGTAATCAGGCAAGTTATTAGCTTGAATGTGATAGTAAAGTAACAGCACCTTTTGCTTCTAATATTAATCACAAAATGCATGCAGTGTGCGAGTAATGCACACTTTTTATTTAAAAAAAAGCAGACTTATATCATTAGTCTGATATAAAACTCCTTGAAGTCAGTGGGAGATGTCAATAGGTCCGGCCACTAGTGAGGGGTTAGAATCAGTAGGCCTTGTAAAATGATAGCAGACTTGCTTCAACTTTTCCCAGCTTTGCCATAATAATTATTGCAGTTAGATGGAAAATAAATAACTTTCCATATCTTCAGTCATCTGTGAGCTGATTGGAAGATTGTGCGATTACAACTTACTGAATAGTGGAGAGTATTGCTATTGATTAGCTCTAAAAATGAAATGCACAGGATGGGACAAATCATTTTGTGGATTGCTGGCCAAGGGGCCGGTACCTTCCTGAATCTGGGTGCCAAATGCAATGCTGTGATTTTTGCTTAGGTTGCTACTTCTGTCCCTTTATTACATTTCAACCATTTGAAACCCTCCTGCACCCTTCATAAATAAAAATCAGCTAGCAATAAAAAAGCTAGTTGATGGCAAACCTCTTTGTAAAGGAACTAACATTGAAATGCTCGTAGTAATTTGGAAATATTTTTATATTTAGAACATTTATATTGGATTTTAAAGAACAGATGCAACTTAAAGTCTATATATATATATATATATA